TTCTTCACAAAGGGGACTCAAGTGAAGAGAGAGAAGAGGAAGAGAAGAAGGAAGAGAAGGAAGAAGCTCCTCCTCAACCACCGCCGACCGCCGGAGCACTTCCCGCCGCCTGAAGACGCCGGAACTCTGCCGGATTTTCGGGAAATGCCGGGAATTTGCAGAACTTTGTAACTTTGCTAGAAGTTGATTAAAAAACTGATCGTCTTGATTTGTAAGACGGATCAACCTTTGTACTTCAAATAAACACTAGTGGAACTTTACAACTGGGCGAGGCCCTGTGGTTTTTTCCCTTTTTTGGGTTTTCCACGTAAAAATCCTGGTGTTCATATTCTCTTTTCTGTTTATGTGCTGAATACTTGTACAATGCTCGGATGAAAATTTACAAACTCTACTGCCGTGTATATTCTAGCACGGAACAGTTTGGTGCCGTCTGTGGGAAACACTATCTCACTACGTCTAGTATTGCTACGATGGTCAACAGGCACAGCAGTAGTATAGTTGGAGCTTCTCGCTCCAACTATAGTCAATCCAGAAATCCGTCTATTAACCATAGGCGACCGATGTCAGCCTCTTTTCCTCCTGGGGGCAGAATGTTGCCAGAGAAGGGACCTCAGGACCTTCTTTGGAAGAAAGAATCCGGAAGATGGAAGAATCTCAGAACGAGATCCTTCAACTCCTGCTAGAGAATCCGCAGCCGGCATTGGCACAACAGGAGGAAGATTTTCTCCCTCAGAATCCACCACGGGTTGAAGATATCCAATTTGAACATCTTCAAGCAGAAGTTCATCACCCTCCACCTAGAAGATTTCCTCAGTCCCGACAGGATAATGAACTTGCCGATACAGCAAGTTCTACACATCCTCCGCCCTCAATTCGACAGCCTCGCATTCTCCCAGATCTCCCAGAAGACTCTGCTCAACCACACGTTGCAGAGCTCCCTCACGACGCCCTGCATCATGAACTACGAAGGTTGGTAAGGGAAGAATTCCCCCAAGGGGATGTGAGACAAACCTTTCGTCAGAGAGACTTCCAGGAGTCATCACCTCTAACTGAGGCTATACTATAGCACCCCATTCCGGCTAGATTTAAACTACCCATCATCGAGTCTTATGACGGAACGTCAGACCCGTACTAGCATGTCGACCACTACATAACCATTATGCACATTCAGCGAGCCTCATACGCTCTCCTCTGCCAAGTCTTTCATGCCACCCTCAAAGGACAGGCTCGCATGTGGTTCTACTTGCTTCCGTCGGGAACGATCCCCTCATTTGTAAAATTAGCAAAAGCTTTTGTCGAGCAGTTCATAGCCAATCGAAGAATTACTAAGGATTCTTCTCATCTCTCCGGAATCCGTCAAAATGAAGGAGAATCTTTAAAGGAATATTTTCAACGATTCTCTACTGAAGCTCGACAAATCCCAGAAGTAGATCTTGAACTGTTGAGAGGAGTCTTTCTTGGAGGCCTTCGCCTTGGCCCCTTCTATTCGGAACTTATGCGTGACACTGTTCCTTCATACGCCGATTTAATTCACTGGGTAGAAACTCAAATCTCAGCAGATGAGGCTATAAACGCCCATAGGAAATAATTTGAACAATCTACTAGAAAGCGCAAGGGTGCACCAGGGATAGATAATTCTTCCTCACAACGAAAGAAGCAAGGGAAGAACAATCTACCCCCGAGGCCTCCATTGCTACGATGAGAACCTCGACAGGAGAAAGAGTGCACTCCTCTCAATACGTCTCGAGCAAATGTGCTAATGGCTGTTCGAGATTAAGATACGGTAAAGTGGCCACATCCCTTGAAGTCGAACACAGGAAATCAGGATCAATACTTCCATTTCCATCATAATCGTGGCCACACTACGGAAGCCTGTAGACAACTGAAGGAGGAAATTGAAAGGCTTATCCGTCAAGGCTATCTTCGACAGTTTATTCGGGATCCACCTACCCGAGAGGAAGCCCGTCCCGCTGGGGGGCAAGATCGACAATAGAGGCCACCAGTAAATAATCGAATATCAGTTAGAGAAATTGAGGCAATAGCTGGAGGCCCTTTGCTATCCGATAAAGTCTTTTTAGCTGTGGATGAAATTCCAACCCCAAAGAAAGCTCGTGTAGATGACACCATCACCTTTGATGATTCCGACTTGGAGGGAGTAAAAATCCCTCACCAAGATCCTCTTGTTGTCAATGCAGGCATAGGCGACCCATGCTACAATGTTAAGAGAATTCTCGTGGATAACGGCAGTTCTATAGATATCCTATTCTACTCTACCTTTCTTAATTTGGGTCTCGTCAGAGAGAAGCTTCAACCTGCGGCATGTCCTTTATATGGATTTGATAATCGACCTGTGCGAGTAGAAGGGATAATAAGTCTCCTAGTTGTACTTGGAGAATTCCCCCGGCAATCTACACACTCTGTTCAGTTCGTCGTTGTAAAGTCCGAATCGGCTTACAAAGCTATCTTTGGGAGGCCACTCCAGTCAATTTTTGGGATTGTCACCTCTATCCCTCACCTCAAGCTGAAGTTCCACACTAAGACAGGAGTTAGTGTTGTGTGCGGAGATCAACAAACAGCACAAACATGATATCTCATGCAGGTCAAAACACGCCCGACTGATACTCTAAACATTGAGGATTTTTATCTCCGTAACGAAGACATACGTCAAAGAGCCTCCCTAGTAGAAGAACTCACCACTGTATTTATCTCTGAAGAACATCCTCTAAAGACAATGCAAATTGGGTCACTTCTCTCAGAAGACGAGAAGAAAATATTCACATATTTTCTACGATAAAATCAGGACATTTTTTGCATGGAGTCCGGCGGATATGCCCGGGATTGACCATGAAGTAATCGTACACTCCATTAAGGTCAATCCGGCGAACAAACCAATCATCCAAAAGAAATGGAATTTTGCACTAGATCATCAGCATGCGATCGAAAAAGAGGTGGACAAACTCCTAGAAGCTGGATTCATACGAGAAGTGCATTATCTTACTTGGATGGAAAATGTCATCTTGGTTTGAAAGGGGAGCGGTGCATGGAGAATGTGCATAGATTACACATATCTCAATAAATCCTGCCCAAAAGATAGTTTTCCTTCTATGTATCGACCAGTTAGTCGATACCACTTCTAGGCATCAAATGTTGAGTTTCATGGACGCCTACTCTGGTTATAACCAAATAAAGATGAATCTGACTGATGAAGAAGCAACAGCATTTCAAACAGACAAAGGGTTATATTGTTATCGGGTAATGCCCTTCGGGCTCAAGAATGCTGGAGCAAAAGCGTCGATGACATGTTGGTGAATAGTCTCGAAAAGTCTCAACCTATCTCTAACTTGGAACAATGCTTCCATTTATTGAGACGTTATAATATGCCCCTCAACCTCGCCAAATGCGCCTTCGGAGTCGCTTCTGGAAAATTTCTGGGTTTTATGGTAACCATAGAGGGATCGAAGCCAATCCCAAAAAAATCAAGGCGTTAAGAGATATGGTGCCACCTAAGAACGTCAAGGAAGTCCAAAGGCTGAACGGGAGGATCGCAGGATTGTCTCATTTCCTGGCATGTTCAGGAGACAAGTACCTGCCTTTCTTCAAAGTACTTAGAGGCGCTTGCAGCTCCGATTTCCAATGGACAGATGAATGCCAAGAGGCCTTCGAACAGCTACGAAAGTATTTGGCCTCCCCGTCGCTACTTTCTAAACTAACACCTAGAGAGAAGTTGTATTTGTACATAGCTGTTTCGCCCAAAGCCATCAGTTCGGTCTTAGTACATGAAGATAATACTGTGCAACGCCCCATCTACTATGTCAATAAAATTCTATCTGAAATGGAGGGACGTTATCCCTTAGCGGATAAGACAGCATTGGCACTAGTTTATTCTGCCAGAAAACTACGCCCCTACTTCCAAACCCACTCAATTGGGGTTTACACAAATGTGTCACTGAAAACTATTCTGCAAAAATCAAAAGCATCGGGTAGGCTCGTCAAGTGGTCTATAGAACTGGGAGAATTTGACATTCACTACTTGCCTAGACCCGATATCAAGTCTCAAGCACTTGCAGATTTCGTGGTTGAATGCACCGTTCCAGTGTCCAATATTCAACCAGGTGCTTTTCCTTCTCCTCCACGATGAACGTTGTATGTTGATGGAACCTCTGAAAGTTCTGGCGCATGGGCTGAAATTCTATTAATATCCCCGCAGGAGACTACTCTCGAGTATGGGCTCCGACTCAAGTTTCCGGCAATAAACAACATGACAGAATACGAAGCCTTTATCGCTGGACTAAGACTAGAAGATGATTGTGAGGTGCATAACCTAGTAGTCCACACTGATTCACAACTAGTTGCTTCTCAGGTGGAAGGAGAATTTGATATCAACAATCTGCAACTAGCCCAATATTACAAATTTGTGAAACTACTTTTGGCCCGAATAGGAGAATATCAAATCGTACATGTTCTCCGAAAGCAAAATGCAAGAGTAGATGCTCTTTCAAAACTTGCAACATTGACAACGGGAGACATCTACAAGAGAAAGTGTGTTGAGGAGATCCATTTTCCAAGTATCCAGGGTCCATGGGTCATACAATCGATCAATGAAATAAGGGAGGAGTCTTGGATCAATCTCATCTTGTCTTTCTTACAAGATGTGGTACTGCCTGAAGAACTCATGGCTGCAACGAGACTACGAAGACGAGCAGCAAATTTCACCATCATTGGTGGTGAGTTGTATAAGCGCGCTTTCACCGGGCCATATCTGAAGTGTCTCCCACCTTCAGAAGCTGATTATGCACTCCGAGAAGTTTGTGGCGAGCATCTGGCAGGAAGAGCTTTGGCTTATAAAATCATGAGGTAAGGGTTCTATTGGCCTACAATGAAACAGGACGCACTTGAGTTTACACGAAAGTGAGGGAACTGCCAATTGCATTCCAATCTCACCCATACTCCAGCTCTGGAACTTACGTCACTTCAAAGCCCCTGGCCTTTCGCCTAGTGGGGAATTAATATAATGGGACCCTTCCCAATAGCCACAGGACAACGAAAATTCATTATCCTGGCTGTAGATTACTTCACAAAATGGGTGGAAGTAGAGCCCTTGGCGAAAATTACTGAAGCAAATGTCAAACAATTCTTATGGAAGAATATAATTTATCGCTTCGGTATTTCGACAAAGGTCATCACCGACAACGGAACTCAGTTTACTGGAAAAATCTTTACATCTTTCTGTAAAGATTTTCATATTCAACTCGTCCACACAGCTGTCGCCCATCCTCAAGCGAATGGGCAAAAGACACGCTTAAGGAAGGCTGGGGGGCAATGGGTTGAAGAACTCCCAAATGTCCTCTGAGCTTACTGTACCACAGCTAGGACTCCTACAGGAGAGACTCCATTTAACCTCTGTTTCGGTATAGAAGCAGTCATACCAGTGGATATTGGAGTCCAAAGCAACAGAGTTTAGGCTTTTGACTTCAATAACAACGAGGAGAAACTCAGGAAAAATCTAGATCTCCTCCCTGAAGCAAGGGATGAAGCCTCACTTAGGGTCATTGCATACCATCAACGGATTGCTCGTTACTACAATCGGAGGGTAAAGCCTCGAACTATTTCCATTGGGGATTTAGTTTTACGAAACATCAAAGCTGCTGGAAAAGGCCCTCAATGCAATAAGCTCTCCCCCCTATGGGAAGGTCCTTGGTGACGGCTATGGTCAAGCCTGGGACCTTCAAATTGAAAGATGCAAACGAAAAGATGCTTCCTCGAACTTGGAATGTGGGCAACCTTTGCAAGTACTATCAGTAGAAGTTGATGCTGTCATCTGTTTAGTGTGATGTCGTTCGTGGTGTTTGTTTTGCTTTGTAGTCATGCTTTGTATCTTTTAAGTTTCTTGCACACTCTTTGTATGTTGATTGTAAAAGAACACTCCTTTTCGTATCCCTAAGTTTACTAGGGAATTGTCATACTGTTTTATATAATACAGCAATGTGATGTTTGCTTTGTCATTGTACTGTCTCTTCTATTCGAGATTTTTTCCTATGATTCGAAAAATACACAACTAATGTTGTATCTCAATCAATAGGCGACAAATCCCAGGGGGATCTAGTTCGACCTCTTCCACACAGATTAAAATCATCAAGCAAGTACTGCTTTGATTAATAACCTCGGATAGGTCAGAGTGTCCCAAAGCAGATATCTCTCGCATTCGTGCAAGTAAAAAAGACTACCTTAAAATTTAAGTTAACATATATGAAAAAGAAAAATGTCTTTTTTATATATAAAAAAGCCACAAACATCAAATACATCGTCTAAAAATAACAACACACGAACAGCAGGAACATACGTACAATCAACGCAATAGAAATAAAAGCAACACAGAAAGCATCAAAATAATTCTATAGAATCTCAAGATCATCATCGTCGTCCTCTTCCAATGCGAAGATCTTTTTCAAATCACTCTCCAATTCTTCACCGCCATAATCTGGAGAAGGATCACCAGAAGTCTAACTCGGAGTCAACCCCTCGATCTCCCCTCCGTTCTTGCATTGTACTGCACGAAAGCCCTTCATGAAGCCTTTAATGAAGCCATCTTGCATAAGCTCTATTTTTAAAGCCTTCACATCTACGTCATAAAAATAATCGCGAGCTTCCTGGACTTGATCCTCGACAAAAATCTTAAAAGCATAAGATTTTTTGAATTCTTCTACGGCTGCAGACGGTGACAGTTGAGCTACCTTCTCCGACAACTTGTTCAGGAGCTTCTTATTCTCAGCCTCAAGGATTTGCATATTTTTCAGTTGTTGGTTGTTTGTTGCCTCTGCCTCCACCAGCTGTATATGCAAACGATCCATCCGCTCATTCTGGGAAGAGGCTGAAGCGATCTTGTTCGCCAATTCTGTTATGCATTGTTCAAGTTGGTTCTCCACCGTCTTCATCTCCTTCACTTTGCCGTCATATTTCTTCTTGTATTCCTCCTGAATATATTTGACCTTCACGAATTCATCGTTCCAGTCATCCAAGACCTTGTTCACCTCAAGGTATTATTCAAAAGAGAAAAATCAACAAGTGAAAAGTATATCCCTGAAATTAGACACAGATACAAGGGAAATGGAGAGAAGGTGAACTCATAAACTCTTTGGCTCGTCGATGACCAATGCACCTATGTTTCAGAACATCCTCTGGAATATATATCCTGGATGGAGAAAAACGGGGGCCCTTGCCGGCAACTGACAAAATTTTGTCCGACTTCTTCTTCTTAAGCGCCTGTGAATCTCCCTCGCCCTCAGGTCGCTTGGATTGAATTTTTTGGGCCTCCGGGACTTTTGTAGATATCTTCAACTTCTGTGCATACGACCTCCCTGCATGCGTGGATAGTCCCACCTTGAATAAATATTCCTCTTCTATGCATCTGCTCAGAGAGCGCATCTCATAAATAAGAGCATTAATATCAGGAAGCTTCAACATACTCAACAAGTCTTCCGCTCCAATATGAAGGGGGGTAGGTAACTCCTTCAACTTTCTCCATCTTTCTTGGAGGCCCCAATCGTTATGTACAAAAAAAAAATCGCTAACCCAATTTTTGGATGGATCCCGCGTACGAATATCCAACCACTTGGATCTGAAGGAGATTCGACCCTGCGGATCAGTATAGATACGCCCCATCCGGGATAGGCATTCTGCAGACAATACCACTACGCAATCTTTGAAAAATGCGATTAGGCCCACTACGACCGACATAGCCCGATAAAAAATTTGAGACAAACTCAATCTACAATTCGTCATGTTATCAATCAGTTTAGGAGGCTGCGAAAATCACAACCCCACTCGCAAACTAAACTCGTACACTGTCATGTATCCCTGGGGAGGGAAGCAGGCACGCTCAGATCTCGCCGGCACCTTCATCACCAAATCATTAGGAAAATAAAACTTTTTCCTAAAAGAGATGAAAGAGTCTTCGATAATGGCGGAGACAACGTCGTCGGCTTTTGTCTTCTTAGGAACCTTCTTTGAACCCTCTGAACGGGTAGTAGGACAATCTTCTACAATAGAAACATCTTTGGTGGAAGTACGATCACCCATTTTGATTTCCTCACTAAAGTGAGGGTGCAATTCTAAGTAGGGAAGATCTCCTACAAAAGATAGCATAAAGCCCCTAGAGCGGGAAAAGAAACGGGTGAAAAGCCGGGAGAGAAATCCCCTAAACTTCTACACGAGAGGAGGGGCGCTAATTCGAGCAGGGGAAATATCATACTAAAAAAAAAACGGAAGCCTCAACTGTTAGAAAGCCGCGGGGGGGGGGGGGGGGAAAAAAAAAGGGGGGGGGGGGGAGGAAAAGAAAAATCCCCTAACTCCTGCACGAGAGGAGGGGCGCTAATTCGAGCAGGGGAAATTTCTCACTCGCAAATAGCGGAAGCCTTAACTGTCAGAAAGCCGGGGGAGGAGAAGAAAAATCTCATAACTCCTGCACGAGAGTAGGGGCACTAATTCGAGCAGGGGAAATTTCCAACTCGCAAATAGCGGAAGCCTCAACTGTTAGAAAGCCGGGGGGAGGAGAAGAAAAATCCCGTAACTCTTGCACGAGAGGAGGGGCGTTAATTCGAGCAGGGGAAATTTTCCACTCGCAAATAACGGAAGCCTCAACCGTTAGAAAGCCGGGGGGGGGAAGAAAAATCCCCTAACTCCTACACAAGAGGAGGGGCGCTAATTCGAGCAGGGGAAATTTCTCACTCGCAAATAGTGGAAGCCTCAACTATCAGAGAGCCAGAGGAAGAATAAAGAGAAGGTGCAAGTTTTCTAAAGGCCTAGGGGCCTATTTATAGGTTTTTGAGAGAATGAAGGGAATATACTACCATTTTCGAAATTATGTATTTTTAGAAATCTTTTTTCGAATTTTTCGGATTTTTTGGGATTTTTGGGAATTTTTTGGGGCAAAAAATAGCCAAAAATCCCCTAACTCCTACACACAAGATTAATTTTGACTCGCTTGAAAAAATTCTTTAAAAAATTGTGACACATATTTTCGGACTCCTGAAGCTACGATGTTCGAAAATAGGGGGGCAACTGATACAGCATCACAAAATTAGCTTGATCGGGCACGAATCTCGAGGCAAAAGCTAGTTGGAAACTTCAAAAATTAAAATTTCGGATGCACCCAAACTCCAATTTCATCGAGCTCATAGTCAAACTGAGCGTCTCGGAAATACAAATCCAACGACACCAAGTTCAACCCAATCCGAGCCCAAATGAGTCCGAATCAAGGACTCGAAGCGCTGTTGGAAGGTTCAAACCACAATTTGAGTTACCAAACTGTCTCCGATTTTAACTAGCTTATACTCGAATCGAGCGGCTCGACGAGAGGAATCCAACGGGCCCAAGATCGTCGAATTCCGATATCATGAAGGCCTCCAAATGTCCAACGAACGGTGTACGATCGAAGGGTTCAATATCGGCCGTCCATTCAAACTACTCCCTATTCGCTCATGATCTCACACCTATTTACGAGCCATGCCACTCCACAAAAACTATAAATAGAGCTCTCATTTTCACAAAGGGAACTCAAGTGAAGAGAGAGAAGAGGAAGAGAAGAAGGAAGAGAAGGAAGAAGCTCCTCCTCGACCACCGCCGAAGCTCTTCCCGCTGCCTGAAGACGCCGAAACTCTGCCGGATTTTCGGGAAACGTCGGGAATTTGCAGAACTTTGTAACTTTGTGAGAAGTTGATTAAAAAACTGATCGTCTTGATTTGTAAGACGGGTCAACCTTTGTACTTCAAACAAACACTAGTGGAACTTTACAACTGGGCGAGGCCCCGTAGTTTTTTCCCTTTTTGGGTTTTCCACGTAAAAATCCTGGTGTTCATATTCTCTTTTCTGTTTGTGTGCTGAATACTCGTACAACGCTCGGACGCGAATTTACAAACTCTACCGCATCGTATATTCTAGCACGCAACAATTGTTATATCATCTAGTTCTTATTTAAATAGTTTTAATATTTATTACATTATCTAGTTCAACTCTGATCAAACCATTGAATCTAGAACATTTATGATTTTCATAACCTTGATTTTATACTAAAAATGTACTTATTATGCTTTGTTTGCTTTATATTTTTTTTCTTATTCTTGAGTAGGGAGCCATTAATATTTTATATATGTGAAACTCTTAAGTAAAAAAGAAGTTACTCTTAATTATTGAGATATTGTCTGCTACCTCTTGAACCCTGTATAGGACATGGCAGTAGTTACCACTTGAACTTGTAGGGGCCTCCTGTAGAATTTTATATGCGTGATGGATGATTTTGAGATACAGATACTAACGAAGATGTCAATTACTTAAGTGAAGGAGATTGTGAAACCTCTTAAGTAAAAAAAAGAAACTAAACTCTTGAACATCGAGATACCTTTTGTGTGTAATGATTCAAATTTTATTAAAAAACATCATAGTTAAGCGCGTTCAACCCGGAGAAATTATGAGATGGATGACCTCCTGGGAAGTTATACAAACATATTAAAAATGTGAGACCATTAGGCCAAATCGAACATATCTCGATAGTTAAGAATTTGAGCTGTTACAATATATATCTAATTATAGGTTTGCTTTGCTTGACATTCACAAATTAAAAAATATGATTTATGCCTCTTTTTTTTTCATTCATATAGATGATTGTTTAAGAGATATATACTTCTTTGATACTTTGGATTTTTATTTCAACAATTGGAATTGCTCCTCGAGCAAATGTATAATGTCTTTTAATAATGATTTGTATGTCAATGAAGCGTTAATCTCACAAATTAAAAGATATTTTATTCGCATTCATAACACAAATGAAAATTTTGTTTACCAATTGTTAAGCATAAAAGTATTTGTTTTCTTAGGCTTACTTTTGAGCATTATTTTTTCGCCATTAAATTTTTTTTTTTTGAAAATTTATTATAGAAATCAGTAAGAAAGTCGTCATAAACGAAAAAGCATTGCAATCATATTATTGTCTGATAAGGTTTTGATGCAATGGTTTTAGTTATTTTTATAAAAATTTGACCTTGTGACATAGCGGGCTCCACTGGAGAGCACAACTCGGCGGCGCCCGACCTCTATGCCGGAGCTGTAGTTCAAATTCCATAAATCGGCTGGAGAGCTCAACACCGCAGCATTGCCAGCCCAGTCTTGCAATGCTCCCAAAGGAAAATTTCAAATTTTCATATACATGCATACAGATTTCCAGGATCCACTTCAAAATGAATATAAACGCACTCATGCACACAGAATACTCACAAATAAATGCGAAAATTTCACATAACTGATCTTATCATACCGAGTCGAAATGGGTGAAACTACGCACAGATTCAGTAAGTGTTACCCTTTCACTCTAAAAAATATTGAAAAATGAGATAAAGCTATTTAAACTATTATAAGTACTAGTTTTCAAAAGCCATTTAATATGAAGTTTAATTATTGATGGGCAATGAAGAGATTATAAATTTGATACAATTTAAAACATTGTATTTTCTTTGACATTAATATTGTATATATATTACCCTAATCTTAAAGTACATCTCATGATTTTTAAATTCATCTTGATACAATTTATAACAAAGATATTCCAACATAGCTTTCTTAAAATTATAAATGTGAATCAAATTTTAATAAATAAAATTTTAATGAGAAATTTGAATATTTTTATAATTTCAATTTCAATAAAATAAAACCCACTGACTTATTTTTTAAATAAATAAAATAACAGAATATTTTTATAATTTCCCTTCACTCAAGAAACTATTTAGACAAAACTGTTTTGCTGGCTTCTGCATCCTTTCTTGAAGAAAGATTTTTAGTTTCTCTCGAGGAACTCTCGCCATCGCTTTTTGAAGGGATTCGCCATTCAAACTCCTCTGATCGCCGATGATTCGAACATTTCTTCCCTCTGATGCGCGCTTCGATCCACCTTTCTTTTATTTAGGGGTTCCGTCGAATTAGGTATTCTACTTTTATTCAAAAATTTTTTGTCTTAATTCTCTTTGTTTAGATTTACAGACCATCATTATCTTCCTTTCTTTTTTCTATCTGGTACTATTTTTTGTGAATAGCAATTTAAGAATCTTTGTTCGGTGTCAAGGATTATGATTGAATTTATTCACCATGGGGTTTGGGTTTAGGTTTCTGTGGAAACTATTTTCCAAGGGCAGTAATCTCCATATGTATTCCTAGTCTCTTTGGGACGTAATAGAACTTTAACTATCCGATTAAACATTACCCCATATTTCGGTTTAATGCCAAGTGTAGTATTACTATTAAGTTTAGCAATCAAAGACAATGCTGCAACTTTGGTGAATTATATAGTGAAATGAGTGTTAATGTACGATAGATGTGGATTTAAAATAATTAAAAAAGAGACAGATGGGTTTATAACCAATTACGGTTAATGCCAAAAAGATCTACTATATAAATGATTTTTGTGTTAAGATAATATATGAAAAATAGAAAGTAAAAAAAGGATTTTCATATGATTTGTATTAATCTTGAGAAAACGCATTATTAAATGCTATGAGAATTACATTAAGATGGAAATGTTTGTTATCAAAGGCGAGACGGATGCTCACCTAGGTCACTAGGCATGGGAGATGTGTGTGCAGAACCTCAAACATCTCCCAGGTCGGCGCCACTCTGAGGCGCTGCTTAGGCAAGCACCTTGGTGTAAGGCACTAGTTGCTTACCTTTATGATATAGATCTTTGTCTCTCTTTTTTTGTTAATAATTTATAAAGCATACACAAACATATTATGAGATGAAGAGCTATAAATGTAGTTTTGGGAAGAGAGTATGGGTGGTCAAGAAGATGAAATAGATATTATCGAATATTAAGTTAACTTAACTTTATGCTGTGGAAGCTACAAACTTATGCTTTTATTTGATTGTTTAAACTTCAAACGTAACTTTTTTGTACTTGTGGGTACTTTATTTTGGACGATCCAACTAACAATATTTTACATTTTGATATTTGGAATGATGTAAAAGTTGAATTTTTTTTCTTGTTTATTTAAATATTTTATTATAATGATTATCATATCATACTCATGAAATATTTCTCATAATTAAAATAAGTAAATTTTTAGCCTTGCCTTGCTCAGGTGAATGCCTAGCTCCTCAGGCATTAGACAATCATGTCATTTTGAGAAGGCTTAGCATCTTTGATAACACTAGCATTAGAAGTAATTGTGCCATGACCCCAGATTTTTCAATTACTAGAGGCTAACATAAATGATTAGTATTGTGTCCATATCTTTTTGTATTGGTTATAAAGATGTCTACAAATAATATGTAAAGTGAAGTGCCTTGGTGTATGCTTTTTACATCAAATGCAATGATAATTGGCAAAATATTCATTGAAATGAGTAAAAAGTTAAAATAATAGAAAAATGTTTAAAAAATAGAGCAATTAGAATTTGTAGAACAAATGCTGAGCAAATGATATGCAATTTTTGTGGGTTTGATTTTAATAATTACTAATTAATATTTTAGAAGATAAAGTGCTGCTTAACTGTGATGATTTAGGACTATATTCTGGAGCTCATTTAATATGACATATATGTCATTGTTAGTAGTTAATTTATTTTCTTAATTTGTATCTAAATCTTGTATATTATGATATGGCTAGGTGAATTTATGTTTTCGTATGTATTTTCATTTTTTGGACGTTTATTTTGTCTTGAAATTGAGTCGTGTGATGTATTTTGGGCCTTTGTGTTTTTTAGTAGATTTTTGTGGTTTGACCTTACGTTGATGGCCTTGTGTGGCTTCCTATGTCATGTGATGTAGGTTGTATGGGCAAGAGCATTAAGCTAGCATAGCATCTTGTGCATTAACCTTATAAATGAATAAATAATCTTTGCATTCCACCTTAATACAAATTGCTAATAAAGAACCATAATCTAAGATTGAGAATGACCATAAAAATTGGGATGACTAACGAGGCCGGTAATGCTATATAATGACTAGTTGAGTTTTAACTTGAGGAGCCCAAGAAAATTGCTCTCTAACATTTTTGGTACTCTTTGCTCTTTACTGAAGGAAGTGATATTGTTAGCCTTCAGGAGTTTCAGCATGATAGTGTTCTCAGTCCTATCTATATTTTGGATGCCATAAGTACAATGAGTCAACTTGTGCTTACGCCTTCTTCCTTTCTAATTGAAAAGAATGGCTTATTGATGGTATTACCGGACTTATTCCTTATGAAGTCTTTTATCAACATGGCACTTCTTTAATTATGGACTTTGTGATGGGGACATCAGAGCATGAATCATATATCAGAGGTGTGACCGACGATCTACGGCCATGATCGCGTCGATGTATTTTGAGATTATTTAATGTATTTGTTTTTATGTTATTTTTCTTTTATTATTAGTTATGTTGTAATTATTTTCTGTTTTTACCCCTTGCTTAAAAGGAGGTTGTATGTAAGCCCTGAGGGCATTGTTGTCTTTTTATTTTGATTCTTATGTACGAGGCTATTTATAGCCCCTATGTTCTCTTTGAAAATTAATGAATGATTGATTACAAAAATGTCTTCCTTGCATGAGTTCTTGTGAGAGCTTGAGAGTTTGATTGGAGAGAAATTCCTAGGAGAGGGAGATCGGATCACCCACCAACCTTGGAGACGGTCGGGTTCGTGGTTTTACTTCTCTATTGTTTTTCCCCTTCCTCTCTTCCCCTAGACGCCGGCTTTGAGCACCCGAAATCCCTAAGCCGCCGGCCACCCTACTCCCCATCCCCACCCATCGGTTAAGCACCACCACCACCATCCACGGCCAAGCCCCCAACCTGCCGGCCCCTCCTCTTGGTCTTTAACTCCATCACCAACTTGCTATTAAACATTTCCTAAAATAGCCTTTTATATTTTAGGTAACTCTATTCATGAGTAAATTCAAATCTATTTGAATTTAAAATAGTTACCTAAATTATAATCCTATTTTTGATAACTTTCTATTTCATAGCCGATTTAAATTTCAAATTAAATTGGATGAAATTTTTCATTCCAAATTTAATTTCTTAATTTAAGTAAGCATTGAATGCCTCCCCAATCCTCTCCTCCTACTCCCTATGCTGCCAGTCCCATAGAGATCTCCTTTGAGATTGTTTCCTAAAATCACTTCACCCTTTTGGAAACAATTCTAAAATCTCTCCTTTTTTCTGTAGCTGAAATTCCCCTTGCTCTCCACCTCCTTAAATCTTTCCAAAACCACTCCTCCCAAGTTGGAATTAAGCCTCAAGTTCCTCTCCCCTGCTGGCCGAAAATTCCCCAAGGCTCCTTTACTGTTTTTCCTCCACAAATCCCTCCCAAACCCCATCCCACGTGGGGTTTCATGATCTCCAAGACTGCTGCCAGAAAATTCCTGCAACTATTCTTGGATTTTCATCGGCTATAGGCTTCAAAACTGCTGTCTTAAGGGGACAGCTTGATGTCCAATAGTTCCCGCCGGCTCCTTTCACCGTAGCTCCATCGGGGAAGCTTCTCCTTACCATCCAGCACTTCCCAACGTCAAAAACAGCGACTTCTCGCATGGATGGCTGACCCGGAAACAGAATATGGCCTCTCCTACGACAAACTTCTTCAACATCTCGACTACTTGTTTCCGGACTTTGACTAAGGTGAACTTCTCCCCCTCTTCAATTACCTTTCTAATCCCCTAAGCTTGTAGGTGATGACGAATCCCAAGGAGCCGAGTTTCGCCTTATGCCTAAGCTTAGTAAACGTAGGATTTTATTTCGCCATTGCCAAAGCTTAGTAAACGTAGGATTGAGTGCACTTTATTTGCTCCTAATCTTGTTGTTAGATTAGGGATTTTTGTTGAAAGCTATTTACTTAGCATGATTGTTGAATTTCTAGCTTGTTTTGATTTTTTCAAGTGTTTGGCAAGCGGCTTAGCCTAAACGTAGGCACCCCTCTCTTGTTTTATTTTATCGTTTGGATTGCTAATAGTTTTTTTTTTTAATCTTACTTGCTTATCTCAAGAATTCGTGCAAATTTTTTTACATTCATTTCTAAGCATATAGTTCTACATCACTTTGTCTATAGTCTACTTCATATTGAACTTAAGTAACGTGTCTGTTTTCATTAATTTTATAATTAATCCTAATCCCACTAATTGTTCTCTTAACTCCCAGTAAGATTTAAGATCTTAATATTTTGATTGTACATAATATTATTTGAGAAAAATTAGCTAGTGATATTAATAATGTTGCAAAGGATGGACTTGAAGTATCTAACGAAAAGATCCTCATAGTAAAAAGTTTTTCATGCTCAAGTCATTACATTCTATATTTTTAGAAATTCAAAGAACTTTATTTTCCATTCCCATTATTGAGTATGCATATTTAGTTAAGTCTGGTAACTCTGCATCATCATGTATGAGCTTCATTGGGAGATTAGGCCAGTGCTGGTCACCATAAATGATTAGTGTAATTCTAGTATTGATGTGTACAAATTATTTGTTAAATTTTTAGGGATAAAGTGTTGATAAGAATGAAGGCTGTTATTTTCTACTGAAACTCTTCGTAAGTTGAATCAAGACAAGCAACACCTTATAAAATAATTAGGAATGTGAGTGTGAATGCTCATAAAGTTGATCATCTAATTGATGTTTGGATCTCTTTAGTTTTCAATGTGGCAAACCTTATGTTTTTTGGATGACCATATTCCTGTTGACGCCTTTCTTTGTAATTCCAATACAAACTTTTAAGTAGCATATGTGATTATGCCTTAATCACCGCACCTCCATCATGGTCAACTCAATGACTGAGATCTCATGAAAGATGGAGAGCTCATGAGTTCATTATTCAATGTATTGCATTCATTCCTCCTGATAATCATGGATTAGTTTGAAAAGTTCACCTTTATTTTTTAAAAAATATTTTCTTGCTTCATTTGATGACTCGAATTCTTTAAAGCCAGGTGGGAAGATGCATGACACTTTTTAGAGCCCATTTAGTATTATGTGGATGTCATCATTTGTAGTTATGTGCCTCTTTATTTTGATATACTTTCTTTATTTGAGTCTAAATGTTATGTATCATAATGTCTAGTTGTATATTTACTTTTTTAGGTTATTGTCGGGACATTGGGTCATTTCTTGTATTTGGGCTTTTTGTGGTGTAATATATAATGTGATGTTGGTTGTATGGATGTAAGTATTTAGTTAGTTTAGTCATCCCATGCGTTAGCCTTGACTAATTACCTCGTTTTGAAACATTTTTATCACTCATTGACCATTATATCTTATTTTGGCATCCACGTAATCATTTAGACTTGCCACCTTATTTTAGACATGTTATATCATCATTTAGACTTGCCACCTCACTTTAGACATATGATATATTTTGGGCCTTTGTGTTATTGGGTCATTTATTATATATAGGCTTTTTGTGGTGTATATATCATGTGATGTTGGTTGCATGGATGTAAGTATTTAGTTAGTTTAGTCATCCCATGAATTAGCCTTGCCTAACTATCTTGTTTTGAATCTTTTTTATCACTCATTGACCATTATCACTTATTTTGACATCCACATGATCATTTAGACCTGCCACCTCACTTTAGACATGTTATATCTTCATCGTACTTGGCTTTCAATCTTTTTTTATCACTCATTGGTTGAATGGATGACTGTTGAATGAAATTATTCTTGAATGCCTACACATATTCTCTTTTTGTGTTTTCCATCCCAAGAGGACTTTTTACGTGTATGAGTTTACAGCTCTTAGAAGACTTTCAAGAAAGGATGATTCAATTTATGGTGAAGGATTGTCAATAAAGGATGAAAATCAGTTATTGTTAGTTACATATCTACTATCTAGGCTTCCGTTATGGTTAGTTATCTAGGTTCATGATGCAATAAAAAAACACAACATTAGAATTGCAAACAAAACTTTTCTTTTCATAAAACATAGACAAACAAAACCTTAAAGCTCAACCACTTCAAACTAACATTAAATGGGATACTACACTACAATACCTTACAAATTATCAAAGTTTTCAGAAGAAAGATACAAGTGAAATGGAACCATGGAGAGAAGAGTAGATAGAAGACCGAGACAAAATAGAAGAAGTAAGGTAGAAGAAGATAGCTCGCAAGCTAAATAACCCGCAAATTATGGTGTCCAAATATTCTTCACCATTCACTATCAATATTTGGAGAATAAAGATACAAGTGGAAGGGAAATTGTGGCGAGAAAAAAATAGATAGAAGACCGAAAAGAAGTAATAGATGTAGAAAGAATATAGCTCTCAAGCTAGGAAGAAAACCCTCAGTTTTTTTTTTGTTTCAGCCAACAACTCTCTTCAACCGCAAATCAGCCATAATTTATAGGAGAAGAAGGTTCAATTGCTCACATAAATGTGCCACCCAAATAGCCAATAGAAGCCAAATCAAGACAACCACTTTTGGACAAGAGAAAACACTAGTCTAGGAATTAGCAAGGAGGGGAAATGAACAACCAGCAGCAGGATGTCGTGGAGACTTAAATGGTATTCTTTTAAAAATAATACAATACATTCTACTCTGTCTGGATTGGAATATTGGGCAAGTATTCAATTATAAACAGTCAAATATGACAAAAATGAAAATTTAAGATGAATGTGAGATAACATTAGGAAGGATAGAGTGAAGAATGAGTGAGTTGGGAAGTTCAGTATCGCATATATAAGATAGGTTTGTAGAAAGGTATGAAACATCGACATCCATATGGGACACTTACATAAAATAGATATTAGGACATTCCCAAACATAATATAAAGTAGGGCACGAAATGCCATTGACTTGGAATGTTCTTCTATAAATAGTGAATATAAATTTATGCAATCAACACACCTGCATTAACATTAGTAAATAGACACTAATTTTTTAACATTGACATTGAATTGTTTACACAAAATGCCAAACAATCAAAGAAGAGTATATGATCTTAAAGATAATATTATAAAATTTGACTTATTGGTGTGTCACTGATTAAACCAAGCACACTCAGCACCACGATCTTTACCACCAATATTATCAATTTTCTTTACAATGGCATTGTTATTTTCGTATAGAAAAAGGGCAGTTATCATAGTTGGTTCATTATGAAAAAATATAGTTCATCACCATCGCGTGTCCAAGCCGTGTTAGGGTGTCTTGGCTTTGTTGGGCTTTAAGTTTTGAAAAAGCACATTGGGCATAATTTCAGCATGTCAAACATGTGTTGGGGTGCATCGGATGCGTGTTTATTACATATGACATGTGTTCGATGTGAAAGGTTTTTATAAGTATCCATGCTTCACAGGTTGAAATAGTCATAGGTTATTTGAGCATGTATCAAATATACATTAATAATTGGTAGAGATAGATTGTCGTGAAAGGCATTGGAAGGAAGAAGGGTAGACTAATTGTAAGAAGTTTATGACAAGAGGCTTGAGTAAATTGTAATTTCACATATAGTACTCTATAGGAATGAATAGAGAAGCATGATTCCTTAGCCAAACCTAGATATTCAGCATAAGGCTACTATTGATGATAACGATAGTATGCATGAGTTATTGAAAATTTATAACTGTCTGTAATCATCAACAGCGCATAACCTTCCTGTGGAAAGAGTTTAGCATGTTTTCTAGCGTAAATGTACATTAGGTCACATGTTTAAAATTGAATGTTTTGCTGGAAAACTGGAGTCAATTCATATGTTCAAAACTTCAAATTTCTCCCAGTAGCAAATGCAGCTAATGGGTTATTGTTACAATTATTTTTTGCAAACTTGGAATTATGTTTACACGCATATTTCCAATTTTTTTCTTTGTTAATAACAGATTTCTTAAGTTGGAACCATCACTTTGATTCTTTAAGATATTCTTACTATGCAGGTTTTTAAAGGAAAATAAGTTGTTTGTTCGGTTCTGGAGTCTTTTGTGGTACCAATGTATATCAGTCATGGCATCTGCTATTTTCTCTTACCTGAAAAACGTATGGCCATTTTCGCTGATGAAAGATGATGACCTGAAAGCTTCAAATAAATTAGTCAATAGGCTTGCAATTCCAGAAGAAACAAAGCAATTTGTCTTTGCTATCCGTGATTCTGATTCTCATGTAGTCGTATATATTTTGGCTGCTCAAAACTTATCTGAACAATCTGCCATTGATGCTGATCGTCTAATCAAGGAAGTTCGGCCTAATGCTGTAGTGGTTTCAGTTGCTCCATCAGCTCTGCCTGATATTCAGGTTGAGGAGAAATGCTCAAGTGAAAACAATGTTAATCATATTCCTACTTCTTCATTTGGAGTCCTTAAAAGATGTCTATTTGAAAAGATAAAAAAGGAGCAGTATGATAGCTTTGCTGGGTGCCAGGTCTTGCAGGCAATTTTTGGGATTGGCTTCTATGGACATTTCTTGTCTGCCAAGAGAGCTGCAGAGAATGTTGATTCCCATTTCCTCTTACTTGAATCACCATATGAGAATTCAGGCTCTGATGCCTCAACTTGTTCAGAGTCTGGCAATGAGAGCTCCCCTAGATTACATCTACAAACAAATAGTTTGCTTCCTGGGAAGGTAACTTCATCTGTGAGCCCGAGTTCTAAGAGGTTTTTTGTTTCTGATCCTCTTCAATCAGACATGGTGAAATCATTAATTCCTTCTCTTGATTTGTTAGTTTCAAATTTAATTGTCGACCCAATTGCCCAACAAGACCAAGAAGGCAGTCTGAGTTCCAATTACCAGGTTCCACCATTTGCTGAATCAGTTTACTCCTTGCTAGTTGATCTGCATCACATATTTAAAGACCTTCCAGCCATTGGAAAAGCATTGTCTTCAGCACAGAAAATGCTTGTTGATGTAAACGAAGGAGAAACAGTTGATACCAAAACCTTATCAAATGCACAGAACTTCAGAATCGCCATTGAAGGCTTGAGAATAGCATTAAACAAAGCCGCCCAAAAACCAATTACTGAACAGAATACAACCAATTCTAAAGTTGCAGACTTCTATGATCTTTCTACTGAAGATAAATGTCATGTTCTCTTTGCTCAAGCACTAAAGAAACAAGCGGGAAATTTTGGAGCAGTTGTGGCTATAGTTGATGCTGCCAGCGTTGCCGGTCTTCGTAGGCATTGGAACACATTGGTACCGCCGGAGGTTGCTGACTTGGCTAATCACTGTGTAATGCATTACTGTGATGATCTTGATAACGGTGACGAAATTCCAATCGAAAACCATGAGACAAAGAAAAAATTGAAAGATAAACCTGTTGTTGCAATTAGCGCCGGAGCTACCGCTCTTCTCGGAGTAACCTCTTTTTCAAAAGTAATGCCTGCTTCCTCACTTGTCAAAGCTGCTACAGTTCATGTATCTTCTTCTTTCAAGTTCGGATTACTACAAATCCAAAGAAAAGTTGCTTTTGGACTCAGCAAAATAATCTTTCCATCAAAACTATTAGCTCCCGGGCTTTCTACAGGAACCAAGCTAGCTGCTTCAGCTGAAAAGATTCGAGCTGTGACACACAGCATGATTGCTACAGCAGAAAGAACAAGTTTGTTTGCCATCAGGACTTCATTTTATGAAATAATGAGGAAGAGAAATGTGAGGCCAGTTGGATGTGCTCCTTGGGTTAGCTTTGGCTGTAGCATGGGTGCTTGTGCAGGGCTTATAGCTTATGGAGATGGGATCGAATGTGCGGCCGAATCCTTCCCTTCTGTTTCCACCATTGCTTCCATAGGTCGTGGCCTGCAGAGCTTGAAGCAAGCATCTCAACAAGTGCAGGCGACCAGTGGCGTGAAGGTACATGAAGCTTTACAATACTTTCTGCACAATGTAAAGAGAAGTTGAATTTGATGAATCTGTGAAAATATGTGAATATTTGTTTGCGATATGAATTCAGATGCACAGAATCAAAGATTTTGCGTCTCTTTTTTTGTTCTTTTGGTCTATTTTGGACTTGGTATTACTTTTTAGCTATTTCATTTTTCAGATAATAATCTCATCATCATTCCCCCACCATCCACTTTAAGTGCAAGATGGTGAAATTTCTAAATTTAAATTTTAAACTCTTCAATACCCAAAACTCATGCTGCTACTATATGCCAGATACATGTATTTTCTATACATATGTGATTGATGACTAGCCTTAATCGAAAGTTCTCTCTCGTTATCGGGAGGGGTAATTAACTATAGGGGCTTGCGCCTATAGGAAACCAGAACTCAGATCATAAAGTCCTCACAAAATGAGGGCGAAATCTCTGGGTAGTGTCTTATCTACAAACCCATCTGCCTTCCAAAATTTACCTCGGAACTTAGCTCGTTAAAACTCCCTCGCCGAATAAAGAAGAGCGAGCGGAGGCCGGGGCCGAATTTTCGGAGCCCACATGCTTATGCTATATTATTACTTTCTAACATATTTTTGTTCTTTTCTTTGAGCTTTGAAAAGATTATTGTTCTATCTTGATGAATCTTTGTCCAAACGTTATTATTTTCAATCAACTAACAAACCAGTTCTATTAATGCTCGCTTAAATCTCGTTTCAAGGTGTTGTAATCATTTAAAGGATACTAAGAGTCAACAGCTTTTGTGAGGTTTTATAAAGAATTAAAATAATAACCTAAAATTTCTAGATTGGAATTTAACGAATAAAAGATCTTTAGTATAGAATAATAATAATCAAAACTATATACATACCATAAAAAAGTATATTGCCTGAAAACCTTATAATGCACGTCTATTTTCTTCAAGGAGGTTGAAATATACCTCGTATCTCTAGTATAACAACGGCCTGTTCTTCTGATTGGATAGTAAATTACTAGGGTAATAGTAATATACATACTAGAAGCAATTTGGTTAATATCTCGATTGCTTATAGTATTATTATTTGAAATATTATGTTTTGATCGAAGAGCGATCTTATTGTATCCTTAAAAAATATATCATACGTATATATGCTTTCTGCAACTACCATTAACTCATTAATTCATACAAAATTGTGACTAGACCTCAAAATAATATATATGGTAGATTATATTAACTCTTATTTGTAGGGCAAACATGTAAGTTTTCTGTCCTTATAATGTAATTTTAAGTTTGGAAAGCTATATGTGGCATGTGGTACTATAATTGAATGAACCAAACGGCAGAACCCTAGAAAATACAAAAGGAAAATTTGGAAAACATATAATATCAATTCATTTATGTAAAAATCTAAACTGTGACAGAGACAACCGACATTATTGAATATTTTATTTCAAAGCTGTATTGCAAATCCAACCACAACCTAAACATTTCTATCTATCTATCTATCCATATGTCATACTAAAACCTCTATATTTTTCTAGTCTTATTCATATTGATTATGATTACCTTGAAATTTTCTTGTGTTCTTGTGTCCGTAGGTTCTTAAGGACCTAAATCTTCTAAACAAATTTTAAGTAATATAAAATGAACTATGGACAAACTATTTCCAATGTGAAACTTGTATAATTTTTTAATCCAAGCTTTCAAAATAAATGAATTAATAGTCTCCTTATTGGCATCGGGTGTACAATTAGTATTTGACTAACTTGGCAAAAAAAAAGTGTTCAATACAAATCAGCATTAAACTTTTTGGTTGATGAACACATGCAAGTCTTGCGAGCCACATACTTAAAATAAATATTATCCTCACTTTATGATGGATAACTAAAGAAATATGTATGTGTGAATTAAAAAAATAAAAAAAAAATGTATGTGTGAATTAGGATTAACACCTGGTCTAATTATTTAGTTTTAATGGCTAAATCATAAGACTCGCTTCTTAAATTAAAATAGCTTTACCTATATTACATTTGCATAGAAACCATTGCATAATGACTTTCAAAATGCTTAAGTGGGTTTAACAAATAGTCCTTTCTAAGTAAGATTGTAAGACCAATGCGTCAGGATTTTCTTAGCCTAAAATGAGGTTTCAAGTTAAAAGTCCCTCAGGTTCCTTGCATTAGATTTAAGTTTGAGATTTATCTTAATGGTAAATCTCACCATACATCTATGATTTGAGGCTGATTTCTTTACTTGCGGGAAGTAGATAGAAGTATGATGATAAGTATAATTAACAACTTTACATGACCATTCTTAATGAAGAAGATATAGGTATGATGTCAAGTATAATTAGCAAGCTAATTCTCATAATCTCTCAGTCGTAAGACTATGATTATGATGATTATTCAAATTCAGCATACATATACCAACTTCCTTAAAAATGATCATGTAAAGTTGTCAATTATACTTGTCATCATATCTAAATTTCATTCTAAGGGAAGTAGATATAGTTATGATGTCAAGAAATTGAAAAGTTAATTCCCATAATCCCTGAATCTTAAGACTATGACTATGATGATTATTAAAATTTAATATTTTATCAGTGTTTATCTCATGCTTATAAATATAATGCTCAATCCGATTATCATCAATAATCACCTTTAATATCTTCTATTGATACAGTTGAAAATAAACCATAATAGAATGACCAATAGTAGAGTAAATTGAGATGTTAGACATATGAGGCAATCCCATTCTACCCATTCCTCATAGGCCAAACAACCTATTTGAATTCCCCATATTCTAGAATTCCCTCATCTCTAAAGGCGCATTCCAAAACTTTGTGATATTTCCTATTTCAAAGAAAGTTTTTATGAATATTAATATGACAATGGAACAATCATTGAGAATGATTTTGAATTTGAGGAAAATTAAAGATACTACAACGATACTTTGTTACATTGTAAGAATTTGAAGTAAGGCTTACATTTGAAGAGATACCCGAGCCGGATCTACCACAAAGGAATGATCCTATTCTAGAGCTAGATAGTGCTGTGATGCTCAAGTCTAACACAAACTTGTCTGTAGCTTTTAGTGAGATTCCTTCAACTAAGCTTCTAATAGTGGTTAATTCTTCAATAATTCCAACAACACAGTGATTCTGCTGATCACTAAACTCCTTCCTTGTCTTTAAGAGATTTTAATATGCTACAACTAACATAGCAATTAGCCGAGTTTACCAAGCCAAAGCCTCAAAATCAGTTGACGTTTCCGAGCTATTGTATGTAGTTCTTCAATTTGTTCATGATCAAGTTGTGCAACCTCCATCTTGGTCGACTACTTTTAACTATTCGAAGAAAAGTTCTTTGCGACCTATGACAATGATGCAGGACATTGATGGTTTTACTTATATTTAGTTCATATTTGAATTTTTATTTACAATTTGTCATATGTTTAGAGTCATGAGTCTTTATGTGTGTCAATTCCTTGCCTTTGAAAGAGGACCCCTCTCTATATTAATGGTATAGGATTCTATAAAAGAATTGAACTAATAAAAAAGGATAGTGCTTGAATGCTTGAATCCCTACCTCTCTCTCTCTCTCTCTCCCTCTCTCTCTCTCCCCCCCCCCTCTAGCTCTTTGAGTTGCGTGTTCGTTCTCTCTCCCTTCCTCTTAAGTTCTGTGTATACTTTCTTCCTCTCTCTATCCACCACCTGAGTTACATGCTCATTCATTAAAATTTATAATCAATTTGTTGCTTCTCCTCCGCATTAAATATATTTATTGATATATAAGTTGCATTTAAAAGGTGCAATTTCAATTTTCAAATAAACAATAGTCAACAATTTCAAATCAATATACAATTCTGCCAGTAGCCAATGAGTTCACACTTTCAAATGTGCTATTTTAGTCCCTGATTATAGTAAGAAATAGACAGATTTTACCCATTAGCCCACATAATCCCCTTCTTATTGGCATGAAAACTGTTCAGACCTATACAAATCATTTACCCACATTTTACCTTAAGCCAAATAAACTATACATGTGATTAGAGAAAAAAAAAAAAAGAGACAACAGAGAAGCAAGGAGAAAACAGCAAAACTTGTGTGATGCCAATATTTTCAGAAAATAGAAAGAGATGGAAGGAGGAGAGGGTGCTGTGAAGGAGAAAAATGTGGACAGGCGGAGAGAAAAAGCGAAATACATAAAATGAAGAGAAAACAGGCACGTACATGGTGAGATGATTAATGCTGGGAAATAGGAGAGAAAATTGGGGAAAAAATGATGAAAGGAGCGAAACGTGAAGGAGAAAAATAGTAGAGATGAATTAGGAGAACTTTCACTAGGTGAGATCAAATGTTTCATGGCAAAGTGAAACATTAGCATTATAATAGTTTTCAAAAGCTAGTAAAGAACCTATGATTCAGGCTTTTCCTTGATCATTTTAAAGCATTGCAAGTTTATTGTTCAATTTTATATAAAAGGGTAATCATAACAGTAAACACATACATGAAGCACGGAATGTGCTAGGTCATGATTTCCATTTACTTGTCCAATTGGGTTAGCAAGATCTTCTGAAAGATGCCACTCAGGCAGATCTCCTGGAATTTTCATACCAGTTCAGGTGTCAAGAATACAGTCAAAAAACAAAAAAATCTAAAAATAATCCTTAGCATACAAGGATTAAGGATTCTATGTTCATTAAACATACCATCATCATTGAAATCTTCACCAAAAATCCAGCTATTTTCTTCATCATCACCTGAAAAATGAAAAAATATTAAGGTAACAAGCTACTTGTCTGCATATTTATTAAATATATTCCAAAATACTACTCCAAAGTTACCTTCCAGCGGCTCAGGATTGAGTTCTACACATTGACAAAAAATATCAAAGAGAGTATCCACTACCTTGAGTTAAGAGTCCAAAATAATACCCAAAGAAGCTTGTGACGAGAGCTTCAGATTGCTCCAAAATTTAGTTCTAACAAAACAAAAACTTGTACTCACAGAACTAAAACCTTTTATACTCGAACAGCTCACATGTGTCATCATTATATATATATATATATATATATATATATATATTATATTTGTATTTATATATATATAAAAGAAGACGATGCAACATTTTTTGAGTTTGGTTGCTAGGACTTCCATTATGATTTAGGTTTTTATAAGGTATAAGAAATTTAATACATTAAAATATGCAATTTAAATTTAGATGCAAATAATTTATACAAAGCATGTAACTTTTTAAGGGAAATAAGCTAATGCTCTTGAAAAAGTACAGAATATTTTCAATGAAAATAGAAAACTATTAAACTTTAAATCAGTTCGAAGATCTTCACTTTTTAATAAAAATTAATTAAGAGAAACTAAAGATCACAAAAATCTAATAGACAATTGAAATTTAATGCAAAAAAAATCCAAACTGTAAATCTAACAAATATCCTTTCTTCAAATTTGTTTTGTTGTGTTCACCTAAGTATCAAATGCACATAGCTGATCTGGATATTATCTTGGCCTACAAAAACAAGGTATCAAATGCATCCAGTTACAGAAGGGAGTCAAGATCAAAGTGAAAGCCATTTACTTGATCAACCGTGGCACAAGAAATACCACCATGAGTTCTTTGATTCAACATCAAACTAACTATGGTTATATTAGTATCAAATATAACAATCAATATCTATCACAAAAACAAAGTAAGTTCAATTGGCCTAATCCACTAACTAGACCAAAGCTTGGCATAGCCAAACCTAGGACCTTAAATAACCAAATTGACTGACAAGGCCCTACCTCATTCAATTAGGAATCTCCCAAGTTATTATGGTTCATTGGATTATACCAAAAACAACAAGGTCAATCCTATGCTAAGGTTAGTCAATCTAAGCAAGCCTAGACTAGCTAGACCTGCCCTAGATTAACCCTAGACCCAAATAACATAGAATCACCATGAGTTAGTTAACTAAGTCCTAAAGAAACCCTTATGTCCTCATTTGTCAACCTAAGGTCAACTCAAACCAAGCCTAGATTAAATATCCCCTGGCTAACCCAAGCTAGCCCAAACTTGGCCCAAGTCATACTAGATTCCAATTCTCAACAAATGTTAAACCTTGACCTATGTAAATGTTTTGAAGAGCCTCATTAGACCAAACTGAACCCAATTGGCTCATTTGGTCAACCCAAATCAAGCCCAAAGAAGCAAAAATTAAACCTAGTCAAATGTGGCTTGATAGGCTAACTTGGGCAAAACCTACTGAAAACAAATCTTCAAACTAAGTCCCCTACTTATAAATAACCTAAAGAAACCTAGAAACTAGCCCTAACCCTAATGGAATTAGTTTAAAACATGATTAAACCAACCTTAAAAGCTAAACCAAATGACCACAGAGAACAAATTGTTTTGGGGTTGGGCTTAACTACAACTCATAGCATGAGGACGATAGCTACAGGCTATCTAATCTCATGTTATTTGGAATGGACGATATTCATGTTTCGTGCTCCACCTCTTATGACTGATTCAATAACTAGTAATTAAAGTTTATTTTGACTAAACATAAGAAAATTTGCCTCGTTGATTTACTGAAAAAATGCTAAGAAACGATATTTTGAAACTGTATTAAATAAAACCCTAAACACCAAAAAAAATATTTTTATTTGTGTAATTTATTATATTTTCCCTCTCTAATTAATTGAATTAAATACTAATTTACCTACTAAAATTATGAAATAATTTGGGCCACCTTCATGCATTCATTAGTGTCTAATGGAACTCTAGGTCCCTTTATTTGGGTTTAGGGACTCATGCAATCTAAATGAGGATCTTAATCTACCTTAATTTTTTATTTTATATAAGCCATTAATTAAAAAAAAATCCATCAAGTTTCAAATTTACTTGATTAATAAATTTGAGGCTGGACTAATATCTATTGGTTGAAAAGAAGGCAACTAGAGATTATTATGCATTTTAAAACACTATTTTGAATCATTTTCCATCATATTGTTAATTATATCTTTAAATAAATTAAAGGATATGCTAATTAGTAATTACAGATATTATTTATAAAGTAATAGAAAATTATACACAATCACAAAATTAGTAAAACTGCTTAAAATCATATCATTATATTTTGATCAATAAGATAGAAATTTTTTACATTTAATTTTTTAGAACACTAGCACACGCTTAAGCTAGGGTTTTATGGTCAACCTATTAGGTTGACCTGATTTGAACTAGACTTCATTACGGTTAGCATTGATTAACATTTGTCATTGAATTAGCATAAATTTCATGACATCATTAATTAATTTAGGGTCATTTGTTGCACATATACTCCACATAAGCTTGTTAATTGCTATCATTAGACTAGTTTGACACTTAGCCTATACAAATTAAGCCTCTAGTGCCCATCCGACCACAATGCACTAATAATTTATCAACATGAAAATTAATTACTAAACCTATGCCACTAGTCTTTATGACACTTGGATTGTATTCACAGCATATAGGATTAGCCCCTTCATTAATCTGAGTATATTAGGTGTCACAACATCCTTAAGTCAATCTAGAGAATTTAATTGGTGGCATAGACTCTAACATTTCTTGAAAAACCCAATCATATGATCATCTTCATCATTCATGTGCCATCATTTGACTATGAGTATCTTGATGCTGATTTATATATATACATGGCAATTCAAGGTTTTGAGCCATACCCAAATCAACTAGCCTCGCATGGAATATAAATAGGCAAAATCTATCCAGGTATCTATCCTTCTATGGATGGATCACATCCATTTGTATTATCCCCATTATAGGCAAACTATAACTTTTTAAGGCAAAATCATAACCATTTTTAGTCAGACCAAATTTGAGTAAACATTCTATTTTAATGATAAGACTACCTAAATTCCTCTAAATGCTTCCAAAGTGACATACTTACATGTGCATAAGTGTTATCCATAGGTCCATCCAAGTAGTTAAAATATACTTGGATAAATTTCTTGATGTTTTAAGTTAGTCCAAATCTACTTATACATTTATATCTGAGTGGATTTAATCCACTTGAACATTTGATTCAGGCATACCACATTTAAATTGAATTTTATGCCTTAAATGGGACAAATTCATTTAATGAACTCCCTTGTTTTAGTGGCCAAGTCCACTTGAGTAAATTAGATCCCCTCTTTCTACGGCAAATTCATTTGCTCTTTTTTCTTAAGAATATTACATTCGCTCAGGCATTGGTTATATCCCATCATTCTAAGTGCTTAGATCATCTCTAAATACCTAGAACTTTCCTTAAAAGTGTATAGACAATTCCTAGTCACTTAGATCTAGTTGAAGGATTGAAGAACCCAAATTCATAATTAATCAACTATCATATTGACCAACATAGACATGCATCCTTAGTCTATGTTAGCACTTTAACTGGATAATGGACCTCTAATCCTTTGATTTAGAATTGGCTCGTGGTAATGATATGTTGACTATAATCATCAGTGATTGTTCATTGTATGATAATAATTAATATATCATAATTAAATCTCATATGATTTTTTTAAAGATCCAAATAACTTTGACACCAACTCTTTATAAATTAAGAGAATTTAGACTACATGTGAGTGTGAGGTCAATCTTATAAAAAACTACTATTGAAGTTATATATAGCATTCATGAACATGTAAATAATAAGGCTTTAATTGATAATTTTGTGTTATTGAAGTTATATGTATACGCTGCCATTAGCACACATGTTAAGGAACTACTATTGCTTTGATTGGCAACATTGTGTTATTGATGTTATATAATGATTGATATAAAATAAAATCACCAGTTTCATAGAAATGGACAAACTGCTTCGCAATTGAGTTTCCCAACCATGGCTAATGTAAAACCTGAAATTCGTCGTTTGAGTGGGTCGCACGCATTTTGATGCGCCACGACGAACTTAGGCGAATTTTCAAAGTCGTCGGGATTTGACAAAATAAATTTTATTAAATTCTTCACGAAATTTAAAAGAAAACGATATAAAGGACTTGTATCAAATTTCGCACGGTTTTAGAATTAAAAATTTTCGAAGATGGTTTAAGTAATTTTTAGCCATTCTCCCCATTTTACCCTTCAAGACATATTAGGGAGGGTGATAGGATGAGGGGCACATGCATACATTCCCTTCATACATCTCCTTAAGCCCCTCACACGCCTAAGGGACCGAATATTTCCATCCCTTGTTGATTTCTTCGGCCGCATGCGAGAGAGAGAGAGAGGAGTGGCGACGGGAGAGCTCGGCGAGCGGTGGCTGGCGAGATTTCCGGCAAGATCTTTTAGGGAAAAGATAGAGGAAGACTTGGAGAAGCTAGGAGGTAAGTTATTCTTAAAGAAACTTGGTTTTTTTTGCATGAGTTTCTCTTGAAGAAAAATGTAGGGTTTATGTTTTATTGGAGATTTCTTTAGAAAACTTTTAGAGCTTGATTATCCCTACCTTTTTATGCCCTAAAGTTGAAGATTTCTTAAGGGAAAGCATAAAATCTGAAATTAGGGTTTCTCCTTTTGGATTTATTTTTGTAAGGAATGTTAGGAGAATTTAAAAGAAGAAGTTGTACGATGAAAAATGCAAAATTTTCTAAAGATTTTTAGGTTTTCCAAATTAGGGTTTTTCCTAACCTAGAGTTTCTAAGCTTGCATGCTCACTAAAGATGTTCATAAGGGTTTAGTGAGTTCTCTAATTAGAGGAAACTTAAATTTTGAGAAAAAAATAATTTTCCTAAATTTTTATTTTTTTTTGAGTTAAAACCGAAATTTGAATGCCTTAAATATATGTATAGGAAAGGGGAGTGTTTTTATAAACAATTGGAATGAAATTAATGTAATTTTAGGGTTTCAAAAATAAGGTTTAAT